TACTATGGCACTATACATTTCTCTATAGCCTGGCACTATATAAATTTCTCAGTGCCCTGGCACTGTATGCTTTTCTCAATCGCCTGGCACTATATACATTTCTCAATACCCAGGCACTGTATACATTTCTCTATACCCTGGCATTCGTGACTTTGATATTGCTAATACTAATAATTTTAATTAATGTTAATTCTACTGATATTAACTAGGTGATTATAATGATATTGATGATGATGATGATGATGATAAAATAATATTATGATGAAAATCATCATAATGAAAATAATATGTACAATAAAAATGATAATGATAATAATGGTAGTAATAGTTTTAGTAGTAGTATTTTCAATAATAATAGCTATGGTAATGAAGATAATGATAATAATGATGACAAAATCAGAATAACAACAATATTATTATTAACAAAATCGTTGGTAATGATAATAATGTTGATAACTATACTATAATTATAATGATAAAGATTATTAGTACCACTATAATGATAATGATAGTAATAATAATATTATAATATTGATAATAATAATGATGATGATGATATTAATAATGATGTGATAATAATAGCAAAAATATAATATAATAATGATAATAGTAATGATAATAATAATAAAGATAATATAAATAACAACAATAATAATAATAATAATAATAATAATAATAATGATAGCAATACAAAATAATAGTAGTAATAACAATGATAATAACAATAATGATAATAATAAAAATGATAATAACCATAATGATAACAATAATGACAATAATCATCATCATGAAAATGATGAAGTAAAAATAATAATGATAAAAATGAAAATAAGGACAAGGGCAATAATGATGATAATAATAATAATTATAATAATGATAATAATAATAATAATAATAATAATAATAATAATAATAATAATGATGATAATAATAATAATAATAATAACAATAATAATAGCAATAATAATAATAATAATAATAGTAATAATATTAGTGATAATGATAATGTTGATGATAATAACAATAATAATAATAACATCAAACGTAAAGATATGAATAATGACTATTTTGTTTACTTTAGTTAGTGGACATGGCAATGATAATGATAATAATGATAATCATAATAAAAAAAATATTATATCAATAATCTTTAAAATTACGATAATGATAATGATAATAATAATAATGATAATGATAGTAATGACAATAAAATGCATACTTACACAAGTTTAGCACCAACAGGAAGAAAACAAAAATGCGCCGTCTGCTCATCGGAAGTGAGGTTGTTAATATCCAGTATCAGCAATGGTTTCAGTTCTGTCGAGTGCCTTAGATAAATGGAACTTTTATTTATTAATTTATTTATTTGATTGCCTTCTTGAAATGTCACTTATCAAATTATAAGATCCGATATGTATAAATAAATCTTTGATATGTGGTTCGTATAGCTGGACGGTAGAAAGAGGGTGTGTGTGGGGGGGGGGTGGAGGGTTAAAATGGCTTTTAGGAACAGCTAATATATATATATATATATATATATATATATATATATATATATATATATATATATATATTTTTTTTTTTTTTTTTTTTTTTTTTTTTTTTTTTTTTTTTGTGAGTTACAGTATGTTGTTAAGCTGATAACCCTACACGAACCACATCCACCTCATGAGCAATAACTGTTAAGACAAAAAAATATGTTACTTTGGTTACTGGTGAGATGTTGACACAGCTAGACCTGCTAAATAAATTGGTTTTATTAAATATGATTTGCAATGCATCTTTGTGCTTAATCTTGCTGCCAATGTGAAACATACCACAAAAAAAAAAAAAAAAAAAGTGTAGGCCTATTCGTATGTGTGTATGAAAGGGGGGGAGGGGGCACTAGGAATTTACCCTGAAGCCATTATTTAGATTTACTTTCAAAGTATGAAAACAGAAATGATACTCTTTTGTAAACTAGTGAGTTTTCTCCAGAGTAAAAACACAAGCAAATAAGATACGTTACCCTTTCATTTATATTTGTAGGTATTTCTATAGCTATTTGACTGTATAAAGATACTTGAGCAGACTAGACGTTAATATATCCCTTCCTGTACCGTTTTAGTTATCTTTACAATTATTGTTATATCTATATAGCAGAACAAACACACTTGAGCAGAAGAGACGGCAACATACCTGGTCCTGCTCGCTACTGACGACGAGATGCGGCTCCCAGAAAAAAAGGTAATTCGCGGTGATACTTGTTAACACGGCATCACGTTCTGTTGGTTCGTTATAAGCCGTGAATATGTGCACAGATATACATACACTAAAAGACGCACACATTCATACGTACACACTTACATTACACACACACATACATATGTACATACATGCATATATATGTACATACATACATACATACATGCATAAATACATAAATACATGCATAGATACAAACCGGCAAAAGCGTGCACACACACACACACACACACACACACACACACACACACACACA